CGTGAGCTGCGCTGACATATGTATGAACTGGGTTGTCACAGGGCCGAGCGTGTCTGATGCAGGTTTGAGCTGGTCTGACACAAATTTGAGCTGGGCTAACACAGTGCTCAGCTGGGTTGACACGGGTTCCGAGCTGGGCTGAGACAGGGCTAAGCGTGGCTGACATACGGTTGAGCAGGAATGATACAATGCTGAGTTGCGCAGACATAGAGTATGAGCTGGTCTGAGCCACGCTGACGCAGAAACTGTGCTGGGCTGAGCTTAGCTCACATAGAGCCTCACATAGAGAACTGGGCTGACACAGCGCCTGAACTCGGCTTCTCTGGGCTGACACACGGCTAAGCTCAGCTGAGCTGTTGCAGAGTTGCGCTGGGATTAAACAAGTCCTGAGGTGGGTTTACACATGTCTGAGCTGTGCTGACAAAGGGCCTGAGCTGGGCTGACTCATGGCTGAGCTGGGCTGACATAGTGCTCAGCTGGGCTGTCAAAGGCCTAGAACTGCGCTAACACACAGCCTGAGCAGCTCTGGGTCAGGCCTGAACTTGGCTGTCAACACTGCTGAGCTGGGGTCTCAATATTGCTAAACTGGGCTGACCTAGGCTTACAGAGGACTAATCCGGCCTGACAAAGGGACAGAGCTGGGATGACACAGTTGCTGAGCCGGGCTGTCAAAAGGGCTGTGCTGGGCTGAGCTAATCTTATAGTGGGATGAGCTGTGCTAAGAAGGGCTGACATTCGGTTTTAGCTGGGTTGACACGGTTCCTGAGTTGACCTGAGCTGAGACGAAGCAGTGCTGATTTGGGCTGATGCACTGCTGCGACAGTTTGATATATTTTGTGGGCTGGGCTGACACAGAACTGAGTTGGTCTAAGCCATGTTGCAACAAGGCCTGAGCTGACACTTGGCGTGAGCTGCGCTACCATAGGCATCACCTCAGCTGACAGTGCATGAGCTAGTCTGAACTGGGCTTACCTGGGCAAACACAGCGCCTAAGCTGGACTAACAGAGGGCCTGAGCTGGACTGATAAAGAAATGAGCTGGGCTGTCACATGGCTGAAGTGGCTGACGTGTTTGAGGTGGGCTGCACGGGGCTAACATGGAGTCTGAGCTGTGATGACAACGGCTGACACAGGACTTGAGTTGGGATGAGCAGTACTGTTGAATTTTCAGGACAGTTTTTTACCATCTGCGCTCGAGCAGCCGGGTTTGGAGTTTTAGGCGGCGAGATGGTTGTTGTACCAGGGGATTCGGGTGAATTTGTAGGCGGTAATTGATTTCAGGGGACGAGTGAGATAAATAGAGAGGAGAGGTGATCATGTAGCAGCTTGACGGCTGCTTCAGGATCTCCGCGGGTGGAAGTACAGCTGGATAGGATGTTTGATGAAATGATGTGAACTCGGCAGAAGTAGTGCAAGTAGAGTTTAGGCTGGAGTGACACACAACTGTGATGGACGGACACAGGTAATGAGCTGGTCTGAAATATTGCTGAACCAGTTTGAGATTGCGCAGGTTCTGAGCTGACACAGAGCTTAGCTGGGCTAAGCCAGGCTGCAACAGGGAGTGAGCTGCACTGACATTGGTTGACCCTGGCTGACCCAGGGATGAGCTGGTGTGACACAGTTTTGAACTGGTGTTATACAGGTTTGGGGTGAGTTGACGTAGCGCTCAGCTGCGTTGACACAGGGCTGAATGCGGTTGACACGGTACCTGAGCTTGGCTGAGCTGGGTTAACACGAGGCTGAGCTGAGCTCACACAGGTCTCAGCAGGGATGCCAAAGGGCGGAACCCTCCTGCCACATATCGTGAGCTTGGCTGAGCTAGGCTGACACAGTTACTGAGCTGGGCTGTCACAGGGCTAAGTGGTGCTGACAGAATTCCTAAGCTGGGCTGAAACATGGATGACCATTGCTGCCACAGGATCTGCGCTTGGCCTGTCAATAGAGCTGTGCTGGGCTGACACAGCGTTGAGCAGGGCAGGCACGTGGTTGCGATGGACTGACACTTAACATGAGCTGGCCTGTTTACATGGCTGAGCTGGGCTGATCTGAGCTGATACAGCGCCTGCCCTGGGCTGACAAAAGGTCTGAGTTGACAGCATCTGAGTTATTACTGTGCGGATCTGGGCTCATACAGGTCCCGAGCTTGGCTGATACAGGTCCTAAACTGGGCTGAACTGGGATGATACAGGGCCTAAGATGGGCTTACTCATTGCTGAGCTGCGCTGACATTGGAACAAAGAAAAAAAGAACAGGAAGTGTCCGTTCAGACCTTCGAAAATGTTCCTTCATTTATTTAGATCGTGGCTGCTCTGTTCCACAGCTAAAACTGGATAGACTGGGGGAGCCATCTGGGATTAATCAATTCTGAGCCAGGCTGACGCAGAGCCTGAGCTGATCTTGGCAGACAATGGGACTGACCTGGTGTGAAACGGCGCTGAGCCAGTTACAGAGCGTGAGTCGGGCTGTTACATGGCGTGAGTCGGTCTGTTACATGGCGTGAGTCGGGCTTTTACGTGGCGTGAGTTAGTCTGTCACAAGGCCCGAGCTGGGCTGACACAGGGACAGAGCTGATCGGGCCGAAACAATGATAATAATGGTTGAAATTGATATTGCGCTTTTAACGTCTTCGGAAAATGATGCTGTCACTACTCATCACATCAGGAATCGAATGTGGAGGCATTTGCACCATCACGTCTGAAACAAACACAAACTGGATTTAACCATCAGCACGTTTCATAAACAGACATTGTTATATAGCAATATTATCAATGATATTAACGGTGAAGAATTGTTCATGACAATGATAGTTTTTAGAAAAAACAGTAATATATTAACAATTTTTGCATAAGAAATAACACATTATCAGGTCGAGACGTCCTAAAGTGCTTCACAGGATTAACGGTATAGTAAACGACTGTTAATTTGTGAGAAAAACACGGCATGCAATTGCACCCAAGAGCCCCACAATTAGCCATAAATTGAATGACCAATTTCGTTTCTGGGATTGTCAGCAAGGACTCGGGGGGTGATTAGTTTTCTTTTATCTTTAATGCCCACCTGAACAGGCACACAGGACCTCAGTTTAACAAGTCATCTGCAGAGAACACTGGAAGCCACTGAAATTCAGACAAGTGCGTGACAGACCGGATGGGGAGGGGGAAGCGGGTGAGAAGGTGACCTCGTGCAATTATGTCTATGTCGGGCGGGGTTCGAGGCGGATGTCAATTGTCTGACTTGTGTGGAAACCCACTAACGTGTTCACGAGTATTGACACGTGACAATGAGTATAGGTGAAGCCAATTCCCGTGGTTCTAATGAATGACTTAGAGGGCTATGCTAGAAGACTTAGTTGAGGAAGGGCATGAAGAAGCTCATGCGCTGGATAAGCACCGGCGTAGACCAGTTGGGCCGAATGGCCTGTTTCTATGCTGTATACGCTAATATATTTTATTGAATGTGTAGTATCTCTGCCACCCTAATCACCATGAAAATTAGGCACTGGTTGGAGAGGATCAGGGTTTGGGAACTTCATGGCGTGCACTGGGATAAGCTTTGGTGTCCAACCAGGGACTCAATGCATATTTTGCGTTTCAGAGATCTGTCTGTCAAGCTTTCGCTCTTCCTGTCGAGTTGCAGCCACTCTGCACATCATTGCTTTCTCCTGCAGGGTTAACAAAAGTTGAGTGGGGTTCCAGGTCCTGCCGATCTGTCGTAGAGCGAGCACAGACACGATGTGGAGGATCAGGCGATGGTATTAGATTGCAGTTCTTGAATGAGCAGCAGCAAAGACACAACGGGGAGAAATAATAATCCTTCCCTTTCATCAGACTTAAAGCCCTTTGCAGGCAATCGTTGTCATGTGCAACTAAACCGGCCGTCACAGCGCACACATGTCATCGTTGGACGAGATTTCAGCCACTCTATCCCCGCTATCCGGACATTCATCCTGGATTCATTCTGATATACCCGTCGCTCACACCCTTCACGGTCCAAGAACAATCTCTACAACCGTGCCTAAAATTATCATTACTATTCAGTGTAACGCAATGTAAATAATTGTTATAATTTATTATTTTTCTATTATTTAAAATTATGATATTGTGCTGTGAAACATATCGTGGTAACGGTTGTAGAATATGATTTGATTTTCGATGCAGAGTAACAGGACAACGTTTCTTATTTTATCCTTCCTTGTTTTGGCCCAAGATAAAATAAAAATTATATTTCTTGAATTTGATACAGCGTCTTATTATCTTGTCGAGATGTTTCAATGAGCTTCAGAGGACTTGCATGAAGTGGAATAAATGTGCATTTTGGAAATGAAATACGGCATCCAATTGCACACAGTAGTTTCCCATAAACAGCCACGGAGTGAATGGTCAATTTTTTTTGTGCAGTTGCTGGCCAGGAAACCGAGAAAATCTCCCTTTACTTTTTGAACAAGGCCATGGGTTCTTTAACGTTCACATGATGATGCAGAGAGGAAATTAGTTTAATGTTTTCAACGGTGGTACAAACTGAAGAAATTAGTATTAAACCAACACTGTTAAATCACAGTAGATTCAATACTGACTAACGTTAAAATGCTCTCAAAGAAAAAGTCAAGAACAAAGAAGACTACAGCCTGTAAACCTCAATATTGCCACGTATTCCAAGTACAGTATCCAATGGCCCATTGCATTTTATTTTAACATAAAAGCAAACACGTGTGTCTGGCTCAGCAAGCGTAATGCTGTCAACTGTCTCCTGGTAATAATGGAGTTTGTAATTGCTGAATAATGGTTTGTTAGCGATTTTGTTTTGTGCCATTTCCAAATGTTCACAATAAAAACAACAACAACTTGCATTGACGTCGCGGCCCGCAAGCAGCGTAGCATCCCAGATCGCATAACATTGACACAGCAGCAAAGCATACACAGTGGTTAGCTCCATTGCTGGGCTGCACTTTTATTAATTTAGCATTTGCTATATTTAGTTACATTAATGGCCACATACCTTTCTTGTACACACAGAATCCCAATATAAGCACAGTGATCACTAAAGCACTGACAATCCCGAAAGCCAGTCCTATCGTTTGCACCCTGGTCCGGTTTGCTAGAGAGGAAAATGGACAAATAGTTATTTATCCAATTAAATAGTCTAATATGTCGAAATTACTCATCATTTTAAAGAAGAAACTTAGGTTTCATCTCCTCCGAACGCGAAAGTGCCACAAAAAAAGTAATATTTTCTCTGTTCCAATGAAAATAGCCCAAGTTCCATCAGTCTGCCCTCACGAGTCAAGCTTCTCGCCCCATGAATCCGGGGAAGGTGTGCTATGCAGGGTATCTTCACGGGCTGAGCTGGTGACCTGATAAGCTGTGGAAGACCTGAATCGATTCCAACCTTAATGGTTGTCTCGAGTCAGGTCCCTGAGTGAGGCTGGTCCACAGTATTCCAGGGTACTGCTGATGAAAACCCATTCCAGCCTGGCTGATCGGCAAGAGGTTGAGGAACACATCGATCAATGGGAGCCGGGATTCTCCTAAATTGGCTTTAATACTACAAGTCAGTTTGCGAGGCTCAGATGCTACTCGTTGGACAAGACCTGCCGTGTGGGTATTGATCGGGAGTTGTTTGGGTTTGGAAACTGTTTCATTGCTGGGATGGGTTTCCGCCCGTGTCAAATACTCCAGACAACACCAAGAGAGCACATGGAAATGTGATCGATGGTTTAATGAGCATTTATAAAAGGAGCTACTCTAAATTATCAAAATTCAAAGACGTTATTATGTGAGATTTTACTGAGCTCTTACCACACATGGAAATGTGAGGAACGGCGGGCGGGGAGACCTCGGCAAGTATTTCTTTCACAGAAGGGGGAAGCGCCGGCTTTGAGCGGTATGGCCAGGGAGGTCGGGATTTCAATCTGAACTTCTCGTGCGAACTTCAGACGTGTTTAATAAAACAGCATAAGATCACAAGCAGGTGATTTACCAGAGAATTTAGGAGTAATGCGTTCACAGTGAGGGGAGTGTGGTGGTGGGATTCACTGCTTAAAGCGTAGAGAAAGTGATAACTTCGCAGGAGATAGATGTTTATAGGGGGGAAGGTGTCGGAAGACGTGAGCACGGTGGGGCGAGGTAGGGGGTGGGGGTATCTGTGATCACTGATTTGTGCTGCAACAGTGAGCATTAGTGTTGACAATGACATCAACCATCAACAATGAAACCGTTTGTCTGAGGTCCAATACTGGGCATAATTGTGGACTGTTATTAAAACGGTTCTTCTTTGGATGCCTGGGCTTCTGCTGTAATTAAAAAATCTATTTGAAGATCCTCATTCTCGTGTTCAAATCCGTTCACGCCCTGGCACCTCCCGACCTCTACATCCTCCTCACTCCCCCAACCACAATCCCAACAGAACCAATTCTGGAACACTGTCCATTAGTCTCTCCGCCTTCCGCCACTCTTCGCACTTTGAAGTCCCGACTGAACACTTCCCTCTTCGACCATGCTTTCGGCCACCTCCCCCCATCCCTTCCACCGGCTCCGAGTCAATCTCCGTCACAGTGAAACGCTCTGAGACGCTACCGTGTTTGGAGGGCACCTGATAGGTAAACGCTTTTGTTGTTGTCATTGTCTTTGACCTGGGGTTCAGCGGGACCTCTATGTCAGTGTGAGCTCGTGTTTAGTGTGAGCCCGGGGTCAGTGTGACTCGGGGTCTGTGTGAGTTGCGGGTCTGTGTGAGCTGAGAGTCAGTGTGCACTCGGGGTCTGTGTGAGTTGAGTGTCAGTGTGCGCTCGGGGTTAGTGTGAGCTGAGAATGAGTGTGAGCTCGGGGTCAGTGTAAGCTCGGGGTCAGTGTGAGCTCAGAGTCAGTGTGAGCTCGGGGTCAGTGTGAGCACGGGGTCAGTGTGAGCTCGGGGTCAGTGTAAGCTCGGGGTCAGTGTGAGCTGAGAATGAGTGTGAGCTCGGGGTCAGTGTAAGCTCGGGATCAGTGTGAGCTAAGAGTCGGTGTGAGCACGGGGTCAGTGTGAGCTCGGGGTCAGTGTGAGCTCGGAGTTAGTCGGAGCTCGGTGTGACTGTTCCCTTCTATGCCTTTTCAGGTGGAGATAACAAACCTCACGGCAGTATTCGAAATCAGAATGGATTTTTTTCCTGGTTACTTGGCCGACAATCCCCCAAATAAAGTTAATCATTCATTTCACGACTGTCTGCGTGAACTTTGCTGAACTCCATCTTTATTTTTATTATTGGGCGTGGTTTTAATGATCTCTTCCCGGCAGGGAAACAACTGATGTCAGGAAACATCTGCGGTCGGGAACTTCACATAAAGACCCTTGGGACGTGTTTGTGAGGGGAGCGGCGTGGGTCACATTTTGTTGGTGTAACGATATGAGAATCATTACTGTTTGTCTTTATACAGTCACGAGTCTATAGAACCAGATAATTTACAGCCCCTGTGTCCAGCCCCTTCCCTTTTGCTCGACTATTGCCCTGTGCTGAGCTCCTCACCCTGTGCTCAGCCCTCCCACCGTCCTGCCCGCATATCATGAGAACCATTTCGCGTTCATTCATCCTGTGCACACACCCCCAATGATCACGCCACTGTGCTTACCCGCCCAGCTTGCTCACACTCACTCACCCATGCTCACCCCTCGTGCCTACACTTAACCCCTGTACTAGCATCACCACCATGTACTCCCGCAATTGTGCTTACCCATCCAATATGCTCACATTTACTTCCCTGTGCTCAACCCACTCACTCCACTGCGCTCACTCTCACTTTCTGTGCTCCCTCTCACAGCCTTGTGCTCACCCTCCGCAAGCTGTGTGAATAAAACTTGTTGTTGTCTGTACCTGAGCACAATATGCCACCGTCTTTTCCGTGTCCGCAGTCAGGCCGACCAACTACAGGCCCCGATCCTTCCCCAAAGTGAGCGTCACCTGAGGCTGACACAGCAAATCCACATCCCAAATATTTACAAATATTTCCTGCCATTTCCATGTTCAGCGTCTCGCCACAAACTGTCCCCCAATTGTCCATGGTGTACAGCTCTACTCTCCCCGCACAGTGGCTGCTTCCGTTCACCAGTCTGGGGTTTTTTTCTCCTGCCAATTACATACAATACAATATTATAACCCACAACTTGAAACATGCATACCATCAACACAATATGTAACATCACAAGCTGCGGACGTGCAGCACTGTGTTAGCAGAGGAGGTGTGGTACTCCCAATTTAATATTCCCTCTGTCTTCTCCCACCTTGCGCTCACACACATCAGTGAGTACACGAAACTCTGTGCTCACCTCGCTGTGCTGACTCCGTTTGCTCATCCCCACCATGCTCACCCCACTATGATAAACCCTACTATGCATAGCGCCGCACATCCCCTTGCGCTCAAATCCCTTGGGCCTCTCCCAACAGAATTCACTTCCACTTGTGATCATCACCTATGATAACACACACCTTGTGCTCTCACCCAATAGCCCAATCAAATTCACGCCTTCGTTTGCTCTCATCCTGTGATCAATCCATTGTGCTCTTCCCCTATGCGTTCAATCCCGTGTTCTCACCCACATCGTGCTCACCTGCCGCCTGTACTCACACCTCTCTTCCCATCACCCCTGTGCTCAACTCCTTTTCTAACCTTCCTTCTGCTCACACGATACCTGTGCTCACATCCTCTGTGCTCACCATTGGGCTCATTTCCCCTTTACTCACAAGCCTGAGCTCACCGCGTAACATTCACCTCGGATTTCCCCCCTTGTGTGGGCTCACTCACCAGCTGTGCTCACCCGCCCTCCTGTGCTCACCCTCCACTGTAGTCATTTTCTTTTGCTCTTCACTTACCTTTGCTCAACAACTGTGCACAAAAGTCTGTGTTCACCTCCACTTACCTTTGCTCAACAACAAGTATTGTGCTCAGAAATCCTATGTTCTCACCCTTCGCGTGTGCTCACCTACCCTGTTCTCAGCCATTTTTCGATCCATTCTAATATGTTGCCTTTCATTCAATGTGCACTAATCTTATGAAGCAGCCTTTTATTACCCAAAGTCCTAACTCGTGTGCCCTCATAATCCATTTTTTCCATGCTTAACAGATTCTTCGTCTTTCTTTGTTGGTCTTTCAACCCTCCCAATCCTCAGTTTACTGCCCTTTTTGGCAGAATCAAAGGTCACTTCTTTCCATTGTATACTTTCCCTATCTGCTCCAGCTAGCCGAAGTTGAATCACTTTTCCGTAGTGTTTTTAGTTCTCGAGTGAATATAATTTTGCTGAACAACCCTGCGCTCACGCTTCCTATTGCTCATCTTCCCCAAGCTCACCCTTCATTTTTCTCACTGCCCCACTTTGCTCACTACCCTGTTCACATACCAGCTTGTGCTCACCTGACCCCCACTCACATACGCCCCTTTGCTCAACCCACTGTGCGCAACAGCATTGTCCTCACCATATCCTTTGATCGCATCTATTCTCAACCAACCCTTTGCTCGCCGCAAGCGCTGTGGAAACAAACCCATTTTATCACCCCGCTTTCGCGAACATCCCATTGACCTCACCAGCCCGCCCCCACCCCGCACACACACACTCTGCTCATTCCCCCTGTGCTCACAAGCTTTTGCAACCACCACTGTGTTCCCCTTATGCTCACCGGGCCCCTGTGCTCATTCCCCATGTGCTCACCACACTGTGCACTACCTCCTCTGTCGCACCCACTATGTGCGCAACCCTCCTTTGCTGAAACGCTGTGGTCTACTGCACTGTGTTCCGCCCTGTGCTCAACAACGCTTTGCTCTCACCCGTGTTCTCACACACCACTGTGCTCACCCGACACCAATGTTTACCCCGTATTCTCAGCGCATTCTATCCTACACTGCCCCCTACACTCACCTACCCAGCCCTGCTCATCTGCCGATCTCTGCTCACCCCCTCCTTTGCTCAACCCTCATTTTGATCAATTCCCTTTTCTCACCACTACCTTTGCTCATATGACGCCTGTGCTCAGCCTCCTATGCTCAAACCCACGCGTTGTACTCAATGAACCTTGTGCTGAATACCCCGTGCTCACCATCACTGGTGCTTACACCCCACACTTTGCTGTCGCACTCCCTGTGCTCACAAGCCCGCATCTGCTAACCCGCCATATGTGCTCGCCCACCGTGTTCAGAGCACTTTGCTCAACCCTCCTTCTCCTCCCCTTCCCCCTTTGCTCTCCACACATGTGCTCATCTCCCCGTGCGCAAACCCATGTGATCGCACCACTGTAGTCTCCCTCCCTTGGACTGGCACATTTCCGTTCTCATTCGATCCCTGAGATCACGAGCCACCATGTGCTCATCTCGCTGAGCTCAACCTTCCCAGTGTTCACTCATCCATGTGCTTACCCCATCTCTAGGCTTACCATCCCCTGTTCTCAACTACTCAGCACCATCTCAATACTCTACCCCACGTTGTGCTCACAATTCCATTTGATCTCGCATCTTGTGTTCACTTCCACTGTGCTCACCTCCATGTGCTCATTCCCCGTCTGTGCTCACCCGCCCTATGATACCACCCTACCCCGCTGCACTTACGCACAGTGCTCCCGCTCTTGAGCTCACAACCAACCCTGTGCTCAACTCCAATGCAACTTATTGTACTGCCTCCCACCGCTCCGTGCTCATCCCCTATGCTCAACCCCTTTTTCTCACCGCCACATACTTAACTCCCACTTTTCCCAAACACCCCATCCTTTTGCTCAAACACCACTTTTCTCACCCACCTTGGGCTCACCACACCCTGAGCACACTCCCCAGGCTCACTTCCTTGAGCTCCATGCCCACGCTGTGCACACCCTCTGTGATCAATCCCGGTACTCATGAACCACTTTGTTAACTCCCCCTGGACTCAACAGCCCCATGTGTTACCCTGTACTGTGCTCAACCGGATCTCAACCTACACCACCTTGTGCTCAACCACCTTGCTCACCACCCTCTCCGCACCATGGTCACCCACTGTTCATGTTGATCAGAGGCCGATTTAATTACCTGAGCAGATGACGCTGGCATCAAAGGAGTGTGAGGCGGAATATTGACCCCAGGGCCATGAGGGACAGTCGCTCAGAGCAGACTCGTTCCCTCTGCACTGAACATTATATGTTACAATGTGACCCGAGCCTTCGCCAAAGTGAGCGCCTCCTGGTGCTGACAGCGCGGCTCCGCAGCCCAACTCCTTACACACCACAGCCGCGGCCGTCATATTCCAACCATAGCCATACACTGTGCCCCATTGACCATCGTGGTGCAGCTCCACTCTCCCGGCACACGGGCTACTGCCATTCACCAGCCTCATAGACACACTCTCTGTAAAACATCACACACAATATTAAGAGTTTGTTTCCTGTTTGATTTCCGATCACCCAAGATAATACAATAACATATTCATGTACAGCGAGGCTATCACATCCGGATGGTGTCTGGGTGGTAAATAATACAACAACAATAATAATCGTTATAATGTATGCAGTGACTACTGGCGACACAAAATCCACTACTCGGGAATTACAATAAAACTATCTGTTCTTAGAATACTAACTGTACCCGTTACAGCTACAGTCGCAAACAAAGGATAGTGTTATTACATTTTGTATTATATTATTACAGTTTAGATTATTAAACTTTATTTTACATTAAATTATTATATTATTTTATTTTAGATTATTACACTTCATATTTGAACATTATACTTTGTGGTAGTATTATAACTTATGTTATTATATTTTATGGTAGACTATCATAGATTATATTAGATTATTTTCTTTTAAACGATCATGCATTAATTAGATTATATTAATTTTTATAACGATTCCCACCAAAAATTATGCCCATCATTTTCTACCTTGTTGCAAAATATAATAATACCGATGTATCTCTCTTGAACTAAGTTTGATTTTCTCCGTCGCTAACTTGCTGCAGAATACCATGCATACATCATTATTGCGGTTAAATTAAATAAATTTATTATATATATATCTCATCAACGATAGGATATCCTGGAAACTGTGCCAATGAATTGGCGCTTGCAAGGTATTTTTGCTCAGGTAAATTCCTTGTGGGTAGCTCAATAATTTATTGCGATGTTGGCGGATACCCAGATACAGACAAAGTCATTGTCGATTGCTTAGTATATTAATAGGTCAAGTTTGTGGCAGACCACGTTAAACAGTTCTTACACAAACACAGAGAGTTAGACAATAAACAAGGCAACGTGACACTGGACAGAGCCTCAAAACTTAGGCACTTCAGGGTTAATTTCACCGTAGGAGCGGAGGGACGGGGCTAGTGGGGGTTGCATAACAGTTCACTATCACAAAAAATACGACCTCTGGTAGAGCCCCACACCATACCCATCCCCCCCCAACCCCCACCACCACCTTCCCCCACCACCCACACAGGGCGCACCCCACCCCCAGGGCACAACGCACCCCACACAGACACAGCTGCAAACACAAGGCCTAGAACCCCATAATGCACATCAGCTCCGTAAGCACTGTGCGTCCCCCAAGACACAACCACGACCCAAGGCACAGCCCATCCCCGATGGCACATCCCCTCCAAGTGCTCAGCCTAACCCTAGTTAACCACCCCTCCCTAAAGGGCAAAGCCACCAAGACACAAACAACCGCAGGCACAGCTCCCTACTAAGCGTAGAGAAACCCATGGCACAGCCCCCACTGGGCACTGGTGCCCGTAGGGCACAGCTCCACCAAGCGGGCACAGACATCACTTCTAGGCACAGTGTTACCCGTATTCCCGCTACAGCACCACTCCAAGCACAGCAACTCAAACCCAGGAGAGGGCACGCCCAAGAGCACAGCAACTCCCCATGGCCCAAACATCCCCAGACGCAGACACTCCCAGAGCACAGCGCTGCCCATGGGCACAGGCGTCCCCTTCGCCCCCAGCACAGCCCCACTTAGTGCACAGCTCTAAAACACTAACAAACATCGGGGCAGCCATGTGGCGGTGGTGACTTTGACACTTTCGAATAGGAAGATCTTCAGACGCCACCTTAAGACGGAGAATGAAGAGGCAGGGCTGCGGAAGAGAGGAAAAGTGTTCCATAGGTTCGGGGCATGTTGCGTGAAAGCTCAGCTAATACTCCCGCAGTAAATTCTGTCAGTGAGACTCTATCACTAACCTGCAGTCTGCACAGTCTTTCTCTCCGGAAACATCACTGTACAAGAAAAATAAAACAATATCATATCAGGAATTATTGGTGCAGTAATCAAGCAATCATGGAGCTGATCTGCCCAGTCTCCTGCAAGATCAATGCTTTATTCTTGACTACAAGGCAGCCATTTAATGTCATCAGCAAAGATTGCCCCAGGGGTGGAATGACAACGATCATAGAGGAGGGAGAAGACAGGGAATGGGATAAGCATAGAGCTCCAATGGGGGAACGAGCATCAGCCGAGACACGAGAAGGATAGAGGGAGAGACAGAGAGAGAGAGAGAGAGCAGGGAATGAGATTAGCGAGCAACAGTGGGGGAGCGAGAAACAGCAATATTTTCTCTCAAAGCCTGGTACATATCTGGAATTTTCTCTGCTCTCTCGTCTCCTCTTCCGTCGTTTCATTCTCATCTCTTTTCTCTCCTCTCTCCTCGCCTGCACTCAAAACTCTCTGCACTTGTCTCTCCTCTCTTATATCCGCTTTCTCCTCACATCGTTCATTTATCACCTGCCCTTTCTGCACACTATTCTACTCTCCAATCTTTCCTGTTTCCTCTCTATTCTGAACTCCTTTCGGGTCCCTTCTATAATCTCGCCTCTCTTCTCTCATCTCGTCTCTATCCCGTCTGCTCTCTGTTTTCCATTCACCCCTTTCTCCTACTGTCGGTCCTCCCCTCTTTGCTCGCTATCCTCCCCTCTCTATTTGCTCGTCTCTCTTGCAGCGACAAAAACAAATCACATTTAAATAGCGCCTTTAACGTGAACAGAACTCCCAAGGCGCTGGACAGTCTGGGATCCAATGAGGAGGGTATTGAGACGTTCCCACAACTCTTCAGTTTAGGCTCCACTTAACGAACGGATCGATTTCAAGAACCTCAAACTCCTGTTCAAATCCATTCGCTCCCTGTCACCTCTAAGAAATCCTCACACCCCACTCCAAGATCCGATGCTGCTTCTCCACTGGCAACGACATCCTTCTTGTAACCGCATCCTCCGCCACACCATCATATGTAGTGCCTTCAGCCTCAAAATTGTGGAATAAAATCCCTCAGCCTTGTCTGCTCTCTCCGCTTTTCAAAGTCGCGCCTCCAAAACTTTCTGTTTGACAATAGTTACAGCCATCTCCCCACCACCCCCCGAAACCCGGCACCCGGTTGGGAGCCGCTCGCGGAGCCAGGTGCGGGAGACGGCTAGGCCTGCCGAAATCTGTATGCTCTTCAACCTGTGGAGGTAGGATTTTGGGAGGCCGACAAGCAGGGAGTTTACACAGTTGACCCTCGATGTGATAAATGCGGGGATGAGGGTCTCCACGGCCTGTGGTAAGACATACTGACTGAGAACAGCAATGTTGTAGACCCGGGGAAAGCCAGAGTCGTTCATCGCACCGATGTGCGTTTGAAGGACAGTTGACGGTCGAACAAGACGCAATCGGCGTTTCTGTGTTGGGTTACGTACAATACTCACTGAAATAAAATTGGAAGAAATACAATGGCTTCATCCTAATGACGAGGAAGAGCTGTTGGGAAACAAGGCCTGGCGGATTGTGTCTGTGTCGGGTAACGGTGAGGATTCTCTGCAGAATTGCAGATAAATCATACAGAGGATATCTCAGGTGCAGCTTTTTTCCGCGATCACTGAGCTCAACTTCCCTTTGACACACACACGTGAGACTCTCTATTTACACTGCCCACAGAAAAGCAGAACAGTTCATGATGTCTTTCACTGGAAATACAACACATCTGTCATCCACACCTCCGCTAATAGTGATTCTGCCTCTGTTGGTTTTGTTAACATTGCGACCCATGATGAGTAGTGGGGGGTGGGGTTGTGTTTCTGAGCTGCATAAAAAGGGGCAGATCACCAGTGTGCACGGGGACAAACTTTGCAGTTGTAGTACGTTAAATGCAAGCAGTGACCTCCAACTCTAGGAAGGATAGCAAGGCCTTGGAGAGGGTGCAGAGGAATCTACCAAGATAATACCAGCGTCAAGGGACTACAGCTATGTGGAGAAACTAGAGAAAGTAGGATTATCCTGCTTGGAGTAGAGAAGTTTAAGTGTGCATCGAGCAGACTTAGTGATCAACATTATAAATGTTTTTTTACAGAACTGTTAGGGATAAACTAATTCCACAGGAGGGCGGGTTGATAACCAGAGGACACAGATTCAAGATAATTGACAAAAGAATCAAAGGGGAAAGCAGATAAGCAGAAATATTTGAAACAGAAAGTTTTTACCATCTGCAACTCATTGTCTGAAAGGGTGGCGGAAATAGATTAAATTACAACTTTTAAAATGAAATTAGATATATACTTGAAAAAGGAATTGGATGGATACTTGCGGAGTCAACGGATGGATTGACGTGATTCAAGATGAAACATTTGCAAAGCCACGGGGAAAGAGTGGGGGAGCATGGCTAATTGGGTAGCTCTTCCAAAGAGCTGGCACAGGCACGGTGGGACGATCGGCCTCCTTCAGTGCTGTAATAATCTAGGAATGTATAACTCACACACCCCATGTGGCTCTCGCCAACCAGTGATAGGCAGGCCACATCACACACTCCGTCGTGCAAAGAAGGCCACAAAATATGCATTAAATTTACTTCACAGCATATCCTGTGAAAAGCTTTGAGACGTGACAAAGAAGTGATAAGGCGCTCGATGAAAGGCAAGAATTGTTATTTTTATTTGTATTATTACTGATATTATTATTCTCACACAGACCATCACATAGGATGTCCTGGATTATAGTCTTTTATAAATTTAGCCTCACTTGGAACAACTTCCAACCCCCAGATTCCCGCTCACCTCACCCTTTCGCTAACCCTAAACCTGATACTGACCCTCTCCCTAAACCTGACCCTCAACCATAACC